AGGCTTATCCGGTCTCCTAGACTGACGAAGTGGAGACAGGCCTGCAGCAAAAACTATCAGCAAAAGCTACAAAAAAAAAGAGAGAAAGACCTTGGAAGGGTGAAAGAGTCCCCCTCGTGAACTGACCATCGGTGGCGGAAGACCTTGGAAGGGTGCTCAGCCCCTTCGGCGAGCTCTTGTACAGATGTGGGGGCAGATGAGGGCTCCATGTGATGCTCCTTGGCAGGAGGACCCTTCGGCGTGGCGTCCCCGACAGGACGCTCGCTGTGGGCCACCTTCTTCGGCGGTTGTTCTCTTAAGGCCTCATTGGTAGGCCTCTTCCTCCTCACCTCAACCCCCTTGGCGGGCTCCTTCACTACCTCGGTCGGCTTCCTCGTGACCTCAACCAATCCCTTCCCTTTGACTGGGACCTATGGAGTTGCCCCTTTGGTGGGGACCTGGGTAGATGTCCCCTTGGTAGGGACCTTTGGAGCTGCCCCCTTGGCGGGGACCCTTTGTGAAGCTACCCCTTTGGTGGGGGCAAACGCCCTCTCGTCCCTCACGGGCATGCCCTCGACGGGCCTCTGCGGCGTCTGTGAGCCCGCCTTTTTGTTTGCTTGCTCCTTCTGCTTGGCATGAGCACGCTCAATAAACATCTTCGCATCCATCGGTACCTCTGCAAGCAAAAGAAAACATATCAATATCGCAGAACGAGGATGAGGGACAACGTGTTAAGGAACTGTAGGACCTCTCCTACCGAGGGGGCAGGGCTGAGCCCCGCGAACACTAACAAAACCTCCTCCTCCACCAATGGCTTGGCCTGGATTTTCCCCATCACGAGTAGGTGGGCTATGTCAGCAGCCTCCTCGTCCTGGAGCGGAGGGGGACACCTGTCGACTACCACGCTGGCCTCTCCCCACCTCGATCTAAACCTCCAACCTTCGGGGCAAGAGACATAAAAGAACTTGTCTTTCTAGTTGTGGATGGACGAAGGGTTGTGAATTAGTTTTCCCCTCCGAGGATGAAAGTAGCACATGCTGGCCTTGAAAGCGTTCTTCCTCGGCACAAACATGGCACAAAAACTTCTTCGAAGTCAACTCCACATCCTAAAGCTGAGCTTACACCAACATGGCTATAATGGTCCTAAGGGCATTGGGGACGAACTGGCTGATAGTGATGCGATACCACTCCAGCAACTCAGAGATCAAAGGGGGAAGGGGAAACCTAAGGCCAGACTCCAAAAAATGCTGGTATATGCAAATCTCCCCCTCGTTGGGGGTCCACGGTCACTCACCGACACCAGGAACCCAAAGTGTGTAGGACCGAGGTATGTGGAACCTCCTAGCTAAAGACTTGACCTGGTCCACCTCTAAGGAGTTGTCGAACTCCGAGCATGGGATGTTAGCTATAGCCACCCTTTCAGGCAGTGCTCCCGTCTACGGGTCCCAAGGCGGTCTCCGAGACCCCCTCCCCCTTGGCCTGAGGGGACCCCTCGGGCTCCCTCGGCAATATTGATGTGGCGCTCTCACGGGGAGAGTCATCGCCTCACTGGCTGCCCTTGGCACCCCTTGAGGCTACTCTTTCCCTCAGCACCATCACCTCTTGTCGAAAGGGAATAACGGCTAGTGGACCCAAGGAAGAGAGAGGGAAAAGGGGTACAAGGAGAGCTCCCCTCTAAAGCGTTTGGAAGTTCATAGCACTCAGGACCAGAGTCCGAGAAAGACATGTTGCAAGGAATTACCTAAAAGTTGGAGAAAAGAAAGAGAGGAGATGAAGTTTATTGAAGAATGGAAAAGTCTCAGAGTTGTTCACTCAGTAACTAGGGCGCCTAGAGACAAATGACAGGAGAACCGCGACTAAGCCCCCTATTTACAGGAGAATGGACGGCCCAGATCTTGCCCAATCCAATGGATGCATGTCTCCTGCCTCCATTGCCCATCTAGGACATGACACCCGTTACTTGACCTCGGAAGACGAAACGATGCTTGACTGGCGCTTAGTCTCGGGGAGACGAAACAATGCCTGACAACTGACGCCCAGCCTCGAGTAGACAAAATGCCGCTGGGTGAACTAGTGAGTCCACTTGCTACAACCCATCGGCCARCGTGAACGGACAAAGCGGACACACGAGCCAGTTCACCCGAAGGCGACTGTCCCCCTCACGGGAAGCTCTCCCCGCGTTAGACTCGTATCGAGTACGATCCCATGCCACACACGGCCCCACCACATAAGTAGGAGGCATGGAGTCAGCTCCACCGAGCCCCTTTTGCCCCAAGCTACCTAGCCGAGGCCGAAGTCGAGGCATCCGCAACTTCACTCCTCCACGAATTGAAAATCAGGTGGATGCAGAAGCGAGACGAAGGCAACGCGACTGCAGGGTATACTCTGCCGATCGAGGCCCAACATCACCTACTGGTATTGACACTCCCTTCGGTCGAAGTCGAGGCCTCTCCTTAACCCCCACCCAACCTCGAGAGTGGGGGCAAGTGATGTAGGCGCATGTGGCCGACCAGTACGGAGCTGACACGTGTCTAACTAGAGGGTGCCAACCTAAGCGTACTATGGGGACACTCAAGGCTCAGGTGCAAACTAGACGGACCCAATCCAAGAGCACCGCGTGGCTCTGGTAGAGGATCTCGCCAGGCCCTCGTACGGCTCATATCTGGACCATCCAGGCCCAACTACTCCCAGGCGACTCCGGCTATAAATACGAAGCACCCCCCACAAGGTAAGGAGCTAGACTCTCTGAACTCATTCTGGAGCTAAAGTAACCTCTAAGCACTACTCCCCTCTGGAGAACTCAAGTGTTACTTAAGTCCTCATCTGGACCCCTCAGTTCCAGACCTCTGACCCACTTTACGCTCGTACTAACTTGATCGTCGGAGTCCTCGCCTCGGGTTCCCACCCAAGGCCTCTGACACCTCTATCCTTGCAGAACTTCATTCAGACTCTCTCACATTGTGGCCGGTGCCAGCCTTCGGCTCCTACAGCATCCGAAGAGGACCTTCGGCCTTGGACAATAATCCTTGGCCTCAGCCTCCCCTCTATCGAACCTCCGAAGCCCTTGGCCATCTCCACCAAAGCTCAGGAGTGAAATTACCTTATTGTCCTCAACCAATCCAAGCATCAACATGAACAAACCACAACTACCCCACAAGGCCACCATTCCTTCTTCTTGTCGATCTTCAAAGTCATCTCTGCCGATGGACGCTCTATCCGTTCTCTCCGGTCTCCTCTTGATCCTGCTCTTCGTCACTCCTCCGTCGCCGCAATGCCACACGCCTTATCCTACGCACCCCCTAGTCCCTTACCCTACGCCCCCTCTCTCAACCCCCCATGTCCGTCATAACCTTTTCTTCCCCATCTCCTGCTCCCCCACCCACCCAAGACGATCTCAAGAAGCTCGCCGCCGATAAGGCCGTGGAGTACGTTAGCAGTGGCATGGTCCTCGGCCTCGGCCGCCGATAATCAGGGGTATGTATCACGGAATAACTGAATAAAGTCAAAGCCTGTGGCTTAAACAGAAATGCAGAATTCTTCAAGTAGTGTCTGGATACAATTATGAAATAAATGGTGACAGGACAGGATTTTACTTAATAGATGATAAGCATTTAACTTCAGCCCTGTATTAGTCTCTTGGTATTCACCATTTACCCTTTCAATTAATTTTAAAATAACAATAAAAGTGGGTAGTTGTTGAGTTCCCCAGAAATAACAGTTTCTCCATGACCTGATTCTATCTTAATCCAGGGTAAATGAGGACCTTCCACATCTTTTTCCGGTTCCAACCCGGAAAAAGTACACAATGCTGGAAGCTATACAGACGTTGCATATAGGAATGTTAATTATGCACGGTCCGGGATCTGCTGTGACAGTGTGACCTATTTGAAGTTTGCAGTGAACCCAACCGCATGGCCACAGCTGTCCCAACTTCATGTGAGCGCTTTCCCTCATGCAACCACTCTCATTTGTGACCATTAGAAGAAAAAGGAAGAAAATGCCACTGCTGCAGCTACCTTTACGTGGTGACCACCAAAGTTTGCTCATTTTTTTCCCTGTTGGAGATTCTCCTATTTCCTGTTTCAGGAATGGCTTCTTCTGTTGACAAAAAGATTGAATTCAGAGCTGGTGGGTTTGAGCAAGGGTACTTCTTTTGGGCATTTTTCTGTTAACTTCTGAAATAGGGTAAGACAAGAATGAGCTTTTGTTATCTATTCTTCTGCAAATTTTGGTTGTAGATACTGTTCTTGGACGGCTTGAGATTCAGAGGCTATTGACATGTGAATGTTGTTCTAACAGATTTGTAGACCTATGGTTATTCTATTTGATGAGATTCAGTGCATTTCTTTCATAAACTATCATCCATTTGAGCTTCTACAACTTATTCAGAGAAGAATGGGTATTTAGCTATGATAATTAAATGGTTGCTAGATTCGAATGAGAAGAGCTTTGACAGTCACCATGTGAAGGTAACTGTAGCAATGCTATTTTCTTCATTTGTAAATGGTCACAAACGAGAGTGGTTGGACAAGGGAAAGTGGTCACACAAGGTTGGGACAGTTGTGACCATGTGATTGGGTCCATGAGTTGTTCTTGCCTCTTCGACATGAATCTAGAGTCTAGACCGAACTTAGTTTTCCTGTATTTCCTATTTTTGGAGGTTCACAATTTCCCGTGTTCATGTTGTAACTTTATTAGCAGAATAAGTTGATGATAATTGATAAATGGTAACCCAGCAGAGTCTTGTTGCCACTTTTTCTTGTTTATGAAACACAAGGAAAGGAAAATATGGCATATGTGTTGTCATCTATTAAATGGATATTAGAGAAGTAGATGACTTGGTCGGCCTTACCAAATTGACTCAACCAAATCTAGGTTTATTTTATTCTTTTTCGTTTTATTTTTCAGTAGTCATTAGAGGTTCCTGAACAATTCCCAGATCTTACATCAACTTGTTTAGGCTACCTTATTTCAACTTCACATGTAGTTGAATTCTCAAAATAAAGGATTAGCAAGAAAAGTAGTCCCATATAACATCACTCTAGCTAATACACTCATGATTTTTATAGTACAGTCTGTTTTATTCAAAGTACAAGAATCCCCCTCCTCCTAAGTATCCTGTGTAATCACTAATCACAAGAACAGATCCAACTCCTAATACAGCTGTCAAGACTGAATAATACAAAAAGTGTTCTCTTTTTACATAAGAATCTAATGGACAAGGAATGAAGCAATATCAAATACATGTATCCAGAATGTGAATAAAATGAAATCTCGCACAATAAAACTCTGAGACAGCTAAGAAAAACTCGAGATGCATCTAGTTCTATTCTACAAAACCATGGCGAAGGACATCATCAATATCATCAACCAATTGAAGTTTCCAAGCAGAACTGAGGTACCTGGAAGAGGAAAACCAAAGAAAAGTGAAAAGCCAATCAGACTGTACTGCTGTATATATCATGATTCCTTCATGCTGTTTGTGTACTAATTTGTAAGATGCTTGTCTTACAGACTCAAATCATCAAATGATCGCATTCTATTTTCTTTCTTTCTTTTTAATTTTATCAAAAATAATAAAAAAGAAAATTTAAGAAATCCATGCTATGATGCATGAAGTTATGAGCAGAACGGTTCTTACCATGACTACTGTCAACCAAGTTAACTGATGTTCCTGGGGTTTGACTTGCAGATTTATTGGACACTGTGATCCCCAAACTGGCACAATCTGCTCCCAGTGTGCCTGATAACCAAAATATCCAAATTTCATATTAGCCCTTCTCTTCAAGATGCTGAAGAGGGTGCATGAAACATAATTTGTTGCACTTTAACATAGTTTAAAGCAGAGGTACAAGCTTGGATATGGTTCAACCTTCCTGCCTGAGTTACAACCAAATCATATTATATACTAAAAAGAAAGAAATGATGTTCTTACATTCACTGAAGCAAGGGAAGACTGTGACATTGAGAAGATTATAGGCACCCTGTTTGCATTCACAGGTGTGGGTGTGATCCGACTTCTTTAAACAGGTGCCTTCTCCACAGTAGGCCCAGTAGCAAGCTGGAGAACCAACCAAACAAAATTTGAGGAATAATAGTAAGATTTAAGTTACAAATATTACCAACCAGCCAATAAAACCATGGCAGACACAGGGTCTTGGTTCAAAGTATCCATCTCTCTCTCTCTCTCTGAATGCCATCGTTCCACCATCACTACTTCATACCTAGTAACCTACTGCCATTATTTAAGCTTGTAAGATGCCCTTAAGGATAATTCCTTGCATCCAGCATATGAGCAACCTCAAAAACCAATAGATATCGATCCTTTGAACCATGCACATGGTGGTAAAGATTAGAAATAATAAGAGCTAAGTTATGGGTGATTACGGTCCCAAAAGGATTCATTGTGCGGAACATCTTTCTCTGGAACAGGAGGAGGTGCTGATGAGCAGGCGTAGTCCAGCGTGCCTGGAACAATTAATCATACCCACAAAGGTGGTCAATTACGTTAGTTAATAGAAATCCAATTTTGCTGCAAGAAGAAACCTATGCAATATAAAATAAAAATAAAACAACAGAGCTTTCACTCTGAGATCACATATTTGATTTCATGTGTTGATTTGTCTATTTAGGTGGGCACATCTCCACCATACTACGAACCGGAATCACCCATGTGATAAAGACAATTTACCAACTTGATTTTACTTTTGCCTTAATTAATTGCTTTCCAAAGAAATTTTTAGGAACGTAGTTGCAGGGCAATTGCCATGTGGAGACATTAACTATGAGATGAGATTTTTTTTTTTTTTTTGGATTCGGTGGTATACACCATTAATAACTTCCCCCTGACCCCTTTTTCCCCAAAATGCTGGTTGGGGGATTTCATTCCGCTGGAACAAACCAGCTAACACACCAACGAGCCAGCCCTCGGTTGGTATGAAATGGACAAAAACTATCTACCAAATCTTCCTTTACCTAACTCCAAAACTGACTCTCAGAATGAACATGGAGACTTTTTTTTGTCACCAAATTCAGTTTATATTAATCTGTATGAAATGGTTCCTGTTTCAAAACTCAAACTCCGGTGCTGCCTCCCCTCGTTCCATTCTCACAACTGAAACGCCATTGTTTCTGCTCTGCCCTGCTCTACTTGAGCAGGTTATACAGACCCTTCACCGTAGCGAAGATCTAGTGAGACCCACTATAAAATAATACCCCCATCATGCACTAGAGAGACAGTGCTTAAAGTAAGGTCCTCTCCGGTCAGTTCACAGTTGAAGGCAACTGTGAACCCAGAACCCAGTATGAGAACAACGAGCAACAAACAAACTCATTAACAAATGGGAAGGTACGTAGCAGGCAAATAAAAGGTGCTGTACTGAGTATACAACAATTTCATCAAATCCAAAATCATATCCAGTTCTGTTTTTTGGATGGCAAAGGAAACTCATACAACGTAACTCAACAATTTCTTCGCAGGAGGATATTGAAACTTTAAAATTAAGCTGGAACTACTCACAGTTGGGAATCACGCAAGGTAGAATCTTGAAATGGTCTTCGTCTTCGCTACTGAGACGGGTTCGTTTCCAACCTGGTTCGCATTCGCATGTGTAGCCAAACGTGTAATTTAATGGGCTGCAGGTCCCCTTTCCACAGTTCACATCCTTGCATATCTCCTCTATACACAATGGTCAAAATTGCAAACAAAGAAAATCCATTGATTAAATCAGAAAAGTAAACCCAGATGAGATATGACGAACACACCAGTGATCCCATGACCCAGATAAGAAAAAAACAATAACCAACAAAAATGAAACACTCAAGCTCTTGAAAAGGATAAAAGAATGAGAGAATAAGGCTGAAAAGTACCGGAAACTGGAGAGAAAAAGGGAGATAGAGCATCTCTCCATGCAGTTATGGGTTCCACAACAACGAGAGCGACGATGATAATAGCGACCAGAGTTAAGGATGAAGAAGCCATCTCGATTCTCAGAGAGAGAGAGAGAGAGAGAGAGAATGGGCGATGGAAGAGAAATTTATGGTATGCTCATGTATTTATCGGGTGATTGAATGACTTTAAAATGGACTTGTCTCAGCCGGCCAAAGTCGAAACAATGACTCTTGTGCTTTGTGGACACTGGAGTTATTGTGGGTCGTTGGGAGATACGACTGGGACTTGAGAACCTGAGAGGTGAGAAACTGATTATTTTCTTTCTTTTTTGTCCAAGGAGTGTAACCCGGGCCGTACTCGGTCCAAGGCACGAGCCCGCGCGGGCCCGCCCGTGCCATGCCACAGGCCGGACTGGTCCATAGATCGAGTTTTAGGTCAAGCCGGGTTGTGGTTGGGTTAAAGTTATTTATTAAAAAAAAATTAAATTAAATTTTTTATTTTATATGAATTTTAATGTATACAATTATTTATATATATAATAGTTAAATAAAATAATATAATAAAATTGAAAATAATTTTTTATTTTATTAATATATTATATACTATATATTATTATATAATAATATAATTATAATTTATATAATATAATATTATTATATATAAATATATATGACCGTACCGACACATAAGCCACTGGCAATACAGCCCACTCGATCATGCTATACTGATTCGACTCACGAACCTAAAACCCCAAGTCTAACATCGCCCATACTATCATGCCATACTCACCACGGTCCGTAAATCATCGTATCAAGCCGTATCGGGCCGCGTGCGGCACGGCTTACACCTCTACCTACCGTGGTCGTTATTTATTAGCTTGAAACTTCGTTCGCAGTTCATCATAAATTGTCAGAAGCCACGCTATCTCTTCTTCCTTTATCTACGTGGCAATCTGATTCAACCAACCCAATTAAAGAAGGTTATAATTGTGTCCAATAAATAAAGGATAACGTTTGCCCAATTTGGACTCAAACTGTTTTTTTAAAGTAGGGCAATTCTTCATTCATTTATACATCTGTATATTTTCAATTTACATGTGATTAGAAACTCAATAAACTTCCATGAAATTAGTATGGATGTACAAAATTAAATGTAAAATAAATAAACAAAACATTTATCTGAACCAAAATCCTACTTAATGCTGAAGAGCTTTAAATTGAAATTCTAAAAAAGGATTTGATAAACAATAAAATTAGATCTAGATTAATAGTATATAATATCGAAATCCAGTCTAATTTTGATATAAATCCAATGGAGTAGGATTCGACTCAAATCTTAAAGTGAATCAATCAAATTTGAATCTTGATATATCCAATCCGTGTTAGAGACAACTGAATGCAATAACAAGAGCTCAACAGAATGGACTGAATGACTTGTACTTTTATTGAAACTGTACTTGGTTTTTATAACTATTTACAAGTCTAACAGAAAGCGTAAAATCAGTACTCGTTAGCCTTATCTTAGCTACGTGATTATTAAAGCAATGGAATAGGTCAACTAATAATATCCCTAAAAACTAGGATTTATTGAAACAGAAAAACAGATTAAGTAAAACAAAAATTTGACTCCAAGCAACGACCTCTTCATGCCCTCTCTTAAACTAACTGCAGATTGCAATTAGTTTACATCAATAGCTTCACACACTCCCATCATCTTTCTGAGTTTCTGAAATGCTTCTAACTTCAACGGCTTCRTCATCARATCARCCACMTGCTCCTRAGTTCCACAGTGGATTAGTTCAATTTTACCATCTTTAGTAAGMTCTCTCAAGAAATGAAACCRCAYATCAATGTGCTTGCTCCTTCCRTGCATAACTGGATTTCTTGAAAGCTTGATCGTTGAACTATTGTCACACATGATAGTGGTGCAACCCTTCTGTTCATGACTCAACCTTTTTAACACTCTTCTCATCCATACTGCCTGGCAGGCACACGCAGCAGCAGCCACGAATTCCACCTCAGTGGTTGACAACGTAACTATGGGTTGTTTTTTGGACAGCCATGATACTGCGCCTGAGCTTAAAATAAACACATAGCCAGACGTGCTTTTACGATCTTCTATATCACCTGCATAGTCGCTATCCGTGAAAGCAAGCAGTTCTTCTTCCCCTCCCTTCTTATACAAAATCCCATAGTTTGCAGTGTGCCCTTCAAGTATCGCAAAATCCTTTTGGCAGCTTGTAAGTGAAGTTCAGTGGGTTTAGCCATGTACCTGCTGATCAAATTGACACTGAACATTATATCTGGACGAGTTGTCGTGAGGTACATCAAACTTCCCACTATTTGTTTGAAATACGTCTCATCCACTGTGACTCCATGATCATCTCTACCCATTTTGAAACCTGGCACAATCGGGCTGCTTACTGACTTCCTCTCAAACATCCCAAAACGTTTCAACACTTCAATGGCATACCTCCTTTGACAGATGAAAATGCCATCCAGTCTCTGTAACACTTCAATGCCAAGAAAGAATCTCATCCTCCCCAAATCAGTCATGTCAAAAACTTTCATCATAGAATTCTTAAAATCAGACATCATATCCTCATCATCACCAGTGTAAATCAGATCATCCAAATACCTTCACTGTTCCTCTTGGTGAATAAAGTCTGCTCATTTGGACACTTCTGGAAGCCTTCACTAATGAAATGAGCTTCAATACGGCTAAACCAAGCTCGTGGAGCTTGTTTTAGACCGTACAAAGCTTTATGCAGCTTATACACCTTATGCTCACTCCCTTTTTTCTCATAGCCCTTTGGTTGCTCCACATACACGTCTTCACTGAGTTCACCATGGAGAAATGCTGATTTTACATCCAATTGGTAAATCTTCCAACCTTTTTGCGCTGCAAGTGCCACTATCATCCTCACTATATCCATACGAGCTACTGGAGCAAATACTTCAGTGAAGTCTACCCCTTGTTGTTGAGAGTAACCCTTAGCTACCAACCGAGCCTTGTACTTGTCTACTTCTCCAAGTTCGTTCAACTTCGTTTTATAAATCCATTTTACTCCAATGGTTTTGACACTAGCTGGCAAGTCAGTAAGTTTCCAGGTCTGATTCTTTTCA